TGGAGCAGCCACAGAGAAGGCCCTCCCCAAGGGAGTCGCCAGCCAACATTGGCCGGCAGATGGAATTTGCAGGAGGCCTACTCTGTGGGATCTAATAGGTCTTTGGGAGGTGATGTGGGAAGGCCCAATGTAAAATATGGCTTCCAGGTCTGACGCATTCCTCATAGGGTTTAATTGCCTTCCTGTTCCTATTCCTTTTCCAGTTTCTTGAATAAAATGTGGGGTCTGGAAGTCGGAGTAGTCAAAGTGGGATCTGACCAAGTCCAAAGAAAGTGGAATGATCATTTCTCCTGATCTGGGGATTAAAGTTATGCTGATACATCCTAAAACTGCATTTGAACTTCTTGGTATCCTTATTATACTCCTATTGCATTGATATTTATGAGCTGATAATCTGAGACAAACCTACCTTCTCTTTCAAATCCTAAAACATTATTTCTTATCAACGCTTATTTTTTTGTGATATGTTTACATAAAAGTAATGCTCCCACCCAATCTTATCAATGACTTTGACCTCGAAGTTTAGCAGGCACTGATAAAGTTTGCAGATGACAAAAAATGCAAACGGTGGCCAATACTTTAAATAAGAGAGAGGGGGTGTAGTGGGCTAAAACGAAGAGAATTTAACAAGGAGAAATGAATCTACATCTGAAAGGGGGAAAAGGCAAGGCACCTAGGATGGGAAGACCTAACTAAGTAGTAAAATATGTGGAAAATGTTTGGGGTGCTTTTGTTTACCGCAAATTAAACCTGAGCTACCAGTGGAATCTCTAAAAAGACAAAGCCAATCTTGCCATTAACAGGAACACATTAATAGGAATGCAGAGACCCAATCAAGGAAAATAAATTGTTCCTTCCTGTCCTGATTTGGTTAGATGTTTTGGAGAATTGTACTCGATTCTGGCCAACACAGTTCAACAAGGGACATAACAACAATTCTGGGCAACATGTTTCAACAAGGGATGCAAGTTCAGATGAGGGCTACCAAGATGGAGAAGGATCTGGAAACCAAGCGCTTGGAGGGACAATTAAAAGAACTGGGAAAGTTTGGCCTACAGAAAAGATGACTAAGAGGAAATATGATGGCAGCCTTTATATATCTGAAAGGCTGTCACACTGAAGGAAGAGTGGACTCATTCCTTATGGGCCCAGCAGGCAAGATCAGAACTAATTGATGATAACCACAAGGAAGAGAATTCAAGCTGGACATCAGGACCAACCTCCTGGCTTTCAGCTGCCAGCCAGTGAAACACGCCGCCCACATGCCATGGCTGTTTCTTCTTCATTAGAGGTCTTCAGGCAGAAGCTGGTTGTCTGTCAGAGATGCTGGGCTGAGCAGGAAGGTGGAGTAGATCAGCATTTCTCAACCTCAGCAACTTGGGTGGAGCGACTGGGGAATTTTGGAAGTTGAAGGTTTTAAAGTTGCTGAGGTCAAGAAATACAGATCTGGATCACCTCTATGATCAATCCAAGTCTGATTTTATGACTTTAAGAATCAGCAGTAACTTATGACTTTAATACGCCAAATTACAGCTCTTCCTGGCACTAGAATTTTTTGGATAAGGTGACACTAGATACCCGAATAGGTTTCGCATAAAGATATTTAATTTGGCTCTAGGGCTCTTTTCTTCCCCCAAATCTTTATCTTATCCATTAGACTGTGAACAAATGCCTCCCCCACCCCTGGAAATGTTCTATACCCGATTCATTAATATTCTATTTCATTCCATTCCATTTGATTCCTGCCTTGGACCCCCAAAGTATAATTCTCATCCATCTTGAGCACAGTGCTTGGAGAAGATAGCAAATGTAGTCCCAACAACTGAGGACCATGGGCACCTTGCCAAGCTCCAAAAGGCTCTTACCATATTAGGTAAGATGACCAACGGTGGGTTTCACATTTTGTTACCACTGGTTCCTCGCACATGCGCCTTCCCCCTTTCATGCATGCGCCTGGACTTCCGTGCATTTTGCTCATGCATGCGCCTTCCATGCATGTGCCCGGCCTCAAAAACTTGTCTAAATAGGATGGCAGAGAGCCAGGATAGGTCGGCGGGCCCACCTATGATTTCTGCTATCGGTTCAGGTGAACTGGTCCGAACCGGCTGAATATCATCTCTGAAGATGACCCCTTAGAGCAGTGGTCCCTAACTTTTCTGGCTCCATGGACCGGCAGTGGTGGCAGTGGCAGAGGATGGTTTCGCGTGTGCCAGTTCCCAATGAGCCATGGATTGGCACTGGGCTGCGGACTGGGTGTTGGGGACTCTGCTATATAGGATTTGACCTGTAGTAGCACTGAATGTCTTTTTCAGGACACATTTTTCCCCCTATTCATACTAGTTTTAATGCTGTATGCCTCTCTGTGGCTTTATGGCATTAGGCGGGCTTCTAAGTGTAATGAATAAAAAATGAATAAATCAGCAGGAGCCCCAGCAACCTTCGGAAGCTGAAAAAATGCAATGCTGAGGACCCCTCCTGATTTTTAAGTAAACTGCCTGTT